CCTTCACCACGATGTGGCAGATCCGGACTCCCTTCCAGTCGGTCACGTTGACGGAGTAGGCGCCGAGAGAGCCAGAGGGAAACTGGAGGCTCATGGTCGCGCTGAACTCTTCCCCTAACATGCAAAAAATTGCAATTTAAATTAGAATTTCTAGAACCGATGATAAAATTAGTTTCGATGCCGTCGGAAATAAAATATAAATTCAAATGAGTTTATTCTTAATACTTAATTATAAACCTCTGGCCGTTGGATAGGAGAGAAAAATCCCAGAACTTCAAAATTTTAATTTGGGCGGGGTCCTGATAATTTCCCCAGAGAAACATCCAGAAGTTCATGAGAGAAATATAGACACTAAATCGCATCTATGAGAATCGAGCGAAGATTCAAGGCCATTGGGGACGCTCTGTGAGAGAAACTTTCAGAACGTCCGAGGAACGGCGGAGGAAAATGATTCCATCGGTAGAAAGAGTCCCCCTTCCTAAGAAGACGGGGGCAGGCGTTAAGAGGCATCGAGTCGCACATCGCCATGGTCCCGAAATCGACCGGCGCCAGTGAACCCAGTTTCGGAACGGGAGCAACCCAGGAACGGCAGTGACATTCTGTGCTATCCTCACAGCACGACGGCTGGGTGAGACTGCAACAAGAGGATACTTCCCGTCCGTGGTTCTCCCCTCTCCCCCCCCCCCTGCCTCCCTCCTACCTTCCTATATCCCTCTCCTCCCATTCTGCAACAGGGTCTACCAGCGCCACGCCGCGGTCACGTTCATGCTAAGGCGATGTTAGCCCCGATGATCCCGACTGAAGGGTATTTCACACACAGTGGGCATGCATGGGTCTACCTACTTACCCACGCATTGGACACAAGACACGCCAAGTGTGAAATGCCTACCGATCTCTCTCAAGCGGGTTCGATTCGGCGATGCCACAACGGCAAAGTGGCTCGAGAGAGAAGGAAATCGACTTTCATCGGTGTGGTCACCCTCATTCCTCGGGAAAAATTTTTTTTTCGAACTAAGCTTCTGTTCCATAAAATTACAAATGAGGAAATCCCATTCCGCGAAAGCATCTTGATGCGCTTGCCAATTTCCTGCTCTCGCAATTTAATCCACTATGCCTCGCAATTTTGTGCGAAACGTATGATGGATCGTTCCTCATTTCCATGACGGATATGGCACAGCGTTCCAATTATTGGCTGGGATTTCTCGAGAGAGAGAAAAACAGGCTTATCTGCAATCCGATCTAACCCTCGCGGTCTGATTTATTGCAGCCGCTTGACAGGAGACCGGAGGCTTTACCCGCCTTTTTTTCTGAGGGAAGAAGATTCTCAATAGACTGAATGAGTCGGGACGGAAAGAAAGGGTTCGTCCCCCAACCCCCCCCCCCCCCTCTCAACCCCCCCAGCCCCCCATCGGTCAAATCTACTGCTCGATGCCATTAATTAATCTACATTACCATCCACTCGACCGGAGGAACGAAGAGGCGCACCCACCTGGCGGGACAGGGTTGGGCGAGAATACCGGCTCGGTCATTTGAGGCTTGGGACACTCGGCGTTCGAAGATCCGCTCGAGACCATATCGAATCTGGTGAAATTCGTTTGGATCGTCTGTCCACTCGACGCTTTGATGATCGCGATGATGGTGTCTCCATCTGGATCCAATCATAAAAATACAGTGGGCTTTGCAGTGGAAAAACGAATGGAGGAAACCGGTGGGACAGCCGGTGGGGCAACCGGTGGGGCAACCAGTAAGGCAACCGGTGGGGCAACCGGTGGGGCAACCGGTGGGGCAACCGGTGGGGCAACCGGTGGGGCAACCGGTGGGGCAACCGGTGGGGCAACCGGTGGGGCAACCGGTGGATGGATTCGTACCAATTAAGTTGATATCCTCGGATCGATGCACGACGACGTTGAGAACCAACTGCGAAGCTGCGTTCGCCCTGAGAGGACCGAAGATTTTTGCCGCCGCGGTTGCATTTTCTACGCTGGACCTGCCCGGACGAAAAGAACAACAACGTCGACAGCAACGTTAACAACAACGTTCGGAATCGAGTCCGAAAGCGAGTTCTCACGCGTATCCTTCCATCTCGAACTCGAGAGGGTCCAACCCCGGCCCGAAAGAGGTGATGTTCATCAGGCAGAAGTGGATCCCTGCATTTCCTTTCGCGTGCTTCAGCGTGACCGTCACGTTCGACGCCTCGAATCCGTCTGCGCGAGAGCGGCTCTCTCTCTCTCTCACACACTTACTGATAATTCATTTAAATAAGTATATATTAAAAAATGCTTAACCTACCCGGAATATCGATATTGAGATTGAGAGCTGCCGCGGTCTTCGGCCAATCTTGCTTAACGTCCCTCGCCAAATCCAACGCTACCGTCAACTGCGGGTTCAACGCGAAATATAAAATCGCTTTAAAGAAAATTTTACCTCTCGTTGCCGCGAATCTCGCTGCCTCACCTCGGGCATCCTGAACTTGGGATATATCTCCACCTAGAACGAAAACGCATCCAATCTCAGTTGAAACCGACTCGGTTGAAACCGACTCGGTTGAAACCGACTCGGTTGAAACCGACTCGGTTGAAACCGACTCGGTTGAAACCGACTCGGTTGAAACCGACTCGGTTGAAATGAGTTTAAACACTCACTCTGCTATTGGACGTGGAAGTGATGCTTCCTAGCTCCAGCACGAGGTTCGCTCCACTGCCAAATCGAGTCGGCTATTTTGCCATTTTCAGTAAATAATTAATTAATTAACGAATCAAGGCTGGACTCACTCCACGCGCTGGGTCGGATTCACGACGGCCTGCCTCGACTCGTTCCCGGCGCACGCGTCGAACTGGACGAGGTAGACCTCGACGCTCTTCAACTGCTTCAACGTGATCGCTTTCGCGGCCAAATTTATCCGCAGATTCGGGAATTCCGTCCATTCGGGAATTCCCACGGTGACGGAATCGCTCCAGCCGCTGAGGTCCTTGGGAGCGATGGCGGGCAGGCTCGCCGAGATCTCGCCGCTCGACAAATTTTTCTGCGGAAATCCGCCCGCGAAACACGAATGATTATTGCAGTCGGAACGAAAACTATTTATTTAAAAAGAGTATTAATTATTAAACTAAACATTTATAGGTATAAAATTATTTTTAAATGTTAAAATGATCAAGATGAAAAATGAGAAAATAATTTTAAAAATGAGAAAATAGTAAAAATGAGAATACGCTGACATCGATGACAACGACGTTGAAGTAATTCCCTTTCTGGATGATGAGGTTGTCTCCGTAGGCGAGGCTGGCGTTGAGCTGGAGACGGCCCCCGAGGGCGAAGAACCTCGCTTGGAAGCGGAGGGCGTTCGGGTCCGGTCCTTGGTCCGGTCCCGGGTCCGGGGCCATGGGGCGTGTCCCTGCGGGGGAATTTCGATGGATTTTCCGAAAACCGGGGAAGAATGCCTCGTTAAATGTTATTTTCAACGCATTCAATGATGCTTTTTTCCCGCAAGATGGACGCCGAGGAGTCGACCGGTTTTCAGGGATGCGATTATCAGAAGTAACGAATTATCGTTCAACTTATTTTTACCTCGGCGATCGCCAAAAAGGTCGGCGGTTTACCAGCTAAAATTAATCAATGAAGAACTTGAGTTTGAATTTAATCGGTAAAGAGTTTGAAGCCAAATTTAATGAGATTTCGTACCTGAGCATAACCACGCCATTACCGCAACACACCGATCCAGCAGCAACCTTTTTTAAAGCACTTCCCTCGCGAGAAATTCCTTTTCCCTTCTGAGACTCACCAACATTGGCGATCGCGGGGATGCTCACGGAGACCTTCCCCGCGTCCCTTCCGGGGCGAAAGCGGTCGAACCGAGCTCGTTCCGCCTGCAGGCACGGGAAGTGCGCCCCCGCCTGCCCCACCTGCCCCACCTCCTGACCCAGCTCGACCCAGCACACCTGGGACACGCCATCCGCGCTCACGTCCAGCTTGTACGTGCCGAGCGACGATGGGGGCAGCTTCACGTTCACGTCCACCTCGTGCAACAGGCCTAGGCGAACGATGTTATGCTCGTGCAGTTATTAGCTTTTTTATTTTTTTTACTCGATGAGCGATATCGTCGGTCGATATCGGTACATAGAAATCGCAATTTTATGTTTCGTATTCGAAAACTCAATGTAAAAATGTTGGATTTACCGGAAACTTTGCGGATCTCCCCGAAGATGATCTGAGGAGTGCCACCGTCTTTTTGCACGTAGATTTTGCTGTCGGGCGGTTTCGGATCGACTGGCATATTCTTACCGAACAGGGACGCCGCGACGATATAGGTGCCATTCCTATCGGCGCTGAATTGCAGGAGGGCCGCATCGTCATTGGGTTTGGTTTCTGCAGGTTATCAAGTGTCGAGGAGTCGGTAGTGCTAGCGCTGTACTAATATTAGTACTGGAAACACGTATATGCATTTGGTGCTTCGAAAAAAAAACCTATACGTGACTGTTGCGCTAAGAAGGGACTTTCTCGTGATAAAAAAAAAAGAAATTGAGAAACACACAGAAACCAAATTGATAAACGCAAATTCTCACTGAGTTCATGCTTCGCCACGACGTTAATGATGATGTTGTGAGCGGAGGCATTCTGCGTTCTGGGCCCGGTGCGAAACGAAGGGAGGAGGAGCTTCCATTCCGCCCTGCAAGGAGGAGAGGAGGTGGAGGTTGGTGAGGAGGTGGAGGTTGGCGGCGCAGTCGCTTCTGGGCTTTCGCGATCATCGGTGCGTTACGGTCTGCTTCATTCGATTAATTGATTGTCGAATGCGGTTCAAAATGTCATCCTGCCAGGTAGATTTGGAAACAGGTGGATGTCTCCTCAGGTGTACTTCCAATTTTTGGAGGATTGTCCACCTGGTTTCAAATCCGCCCTGGGGAACATCCACCTGGTTCCAGATTCACCTGGTCGTTCGGCCAGGTGGATGCAGGTGGACGTTTTTCAAGTGTTGGTATTTTTATAACGAAGAATCGAATGTGTGATTACGAGTTATTCTTTGCGATGGTGCTTTTGAGGTTGGCATCGTCCAGAAGGCACATTTCTCCTATGAAGGAAATCTCCATGCGGCAAATTCGGATGGAGTTCAGAAGATCCTTCGGGACTTTGATAATGGCATCGATCTTGACTTCTTCGGATTTCCTGGGGTAGTTTCCTAAACCACGAGGAAAAGACTCTTCGGTTCGCCTTCTGAACATTAGCTCATCATTAGCTCGTGCTGCTGACGTACCTGGTAGAATGATAATTGCGTCCCAGGACATCTCTGTGCCACTATACCATGTGTTTACTCGAGGACTACCCCGGCTGATTCGCAGAAAACCTGCAACTTCCCCGTCGGGTTCTGGCTCTGGGAGCTGAGGTAATTCAGAAAGAAACCAGACGATTATTGATGCAATCTACTTTATTGCCAAAGGAAGTGCAAGTGCAGAACAAAGCCCCACAGAAAAACGAAAAAGGAAAGAAGGCCGTCGACGTGTCTGAGGGCTTCTGACTACTCACGACTGACTTGTCTCATACCTTGAGCACCTCGATCGAGGAAGTACTTTGACGATCGCAATCGCACAAGAATTCGGCCAGAAAGGACTCGGTCACGTCCGGTTCAACCGCGAGGTAGACATCCAGATAGAAATAGTTCTCCTCCTCTTTCGGGTCCACCTGGGATTGCAACATGCATGACACGAGACGAACACCCATCTCATCCCTATCGAGGATCGCATCGCATTACCTGCATCATGTAAAGGTCTTGCAGCTCGAACACCGTCTTCCACGTGAGGTCCACCGCCTGCTCTGGAGCCATTCGCCTCGTCAGCTGCATCGACGGCAGCGGGATGTAACTGCTCCCCAGGCTGTGAATGGCGGCGTGAACTGCCTTCGCACCCTCTGCGTGCATCATACCATTATCGTATCGTTATCTATTGTATCGTTATTTTATTTGCAAGCGAGATAGGGAGCGAGGCTCACTCGGGGTCGAGACCGTGAGATTCAGTTTCAGATTCCCCGGCGTGGCCAGAAATTTCACAACGATGGGAACGAATCCTCCGAGAGAGGTGCCGTTTCCCACCTCCTGCGATGAACCATCGGATTTTGCATCAAAATTTATGATTATATATCCAACAGTTTGAGTATACATAAATATACTAAGTTATACATACATCAATAAAAACACGAACGGATTAAAGTTTCAGATTTTTCTCTGTAGTTGAAATACCGACCATACTCTCGATGCGGGAGCAACTTTGAGGGTTTGCATCGTCTGCCTGTTGGGGCCTGATCGCGAAGGTGCCGAGCGGCCAAGGCACCTCGTAGCCTTTCATGTATCCGGCCACGCTGATTTCGAGAGACTTCCCGGAGGCTGCATTTCGTTTGTCGTCGATCCGGGTGTTTATTGTGAAGTTTTCGTTGGGAGAATTGTCGAGAGGGCTCGGCGCTGTTCGACCGAAAAGTTTTCGGACGCATTCCCAAATCCAGCAAATTTGCACATGCAGAGTGGCGAAAAAAGCGAGCAAACTCACCGCCGTCGCAATTGAAGATTCCAAGCAACTTGAGATCTTTGCCATCTCCCGTTTCACGATTGCAGGTGTAAGTAGAAGAGGTAGAAGGGACCTTGAGTGAATCTGACTCGAACAAGATGTTACTCTGCACAATATCCAATTTGACACATATGCAATTGGTTTCAGAATTTCGGAAGAGAAAATCTGAATACTTTAAAGAGTCTATTTCATGACATTTTGCCTCTGGAAAAAGTTTAGACTAGACACCGCAATGTACCAATTGGCACATTGGTATCTGAATGTACCAATTGACACCTTTTTTTCTGTACTTGAGTCTTCTACCGAAATTTTAGTCTAGGTAACATCGAATTTGCCGATTTTTATGACTTGGGGCGAGCAGCTTGCTCTCGAAGATATGCAAAAGCGGATCGTGAAAAGGTCTTAAAAAAAAGATAAAAAAAAAGGTCGAAACAGTTGGAACTCACAGGCGGAGGGCAACAACTCTTACAAAGTATAATTTGAAGCGTCAAGTATTTCCTTTTCACATATATTTATAATTTATTATTGTAATATTAGCTTTTTTACGGTGAAAGATTCATTGTCAATTCTGATTTGCCAAAAAAAAAATCAATTTCGGAGCTATAATAAATTGAATATTTTCGGGACGATTTCGCTCACCGCAATCGGGCCGCCGTCTTCCGTGAGAGAGAAGAAAACATTCTTCGGGATGAAAGGGGAAATGGATTCGAAATAATACCCCGTTCCCTGTAGAGATCAAAATGATTCGCGTCATTTCCGGCCAGGAACGCCGAGTTTGCTCAAAAACCGCGCTCAGTCGTGGGCGTATTCGAACAAAATCCCCACATCCATCATCCTTATATCACCAATTGAACCGATGTACTGAGCAAAACAATATATATTTTTAACAGGATTTTTTTTTTATAATTTTTTTTTTTTACCTCAAGGACTCTTTCGCTTTTTTCGATGCAGAAGTATGCACGTCACCATTGGGTCTATTAAGCACGAGTTTGTTTGGGTCATGATCTCCCCCGCAACAATCCTGCCCAAGTGCGATATAAAAAATATTATAATATAAAGTGAGGCAAAAGTCACTATACAGTTGTTGAATATAGAAACTTAGTATCATTTCTAACGTTATATTGACCATTGCTCATAACAAAAACACTAATAGCACAGGAAAATGATCCTACAATGTTATTTCAAAAGTTAATAGTTAATAAACTTCCAGGAAGGCCCACGGATATTGTGGGCAATCTAGATAGTTAGCACCTTTGGATCGGGGATCCACCTCCAGGCAGGAAAACAATGATCAGAAGGGAATACACGTATAAAGGGTCTGGATGCTACGCTTATTCTCCGTTTGAATATTTTCCACCATATTTCGGTTCATCTATTGTATTTCAGCTCTTCGTGTGATAATGAATTTTATGCCATTCTGCACGTTTTAGAGGTTTTGTTCAAAAAGGCATTTGCAGGCATTTCGAGACATTTTAAACAAAATTGGAAACTTTTAATTACCTTTTAATTAATTGAAGTTTTGATGATTTGACATTTTTCGGCAAACCATCACTTCTTGTACTGCAGAGTCGATTGACACTTAGCTGACCTCTCTATCATATACAGTTCCTGGCGATAAGTGTGACAGGTGCCCATTATGTATGTAGATAATAGATATAATAAATAATAGTTATACCTAGGTATATAATTATTTATAATAAAAAAATAGGGTTTCTCCCCTCAGTATGTGCTGTGTTGCTACGGTATTCCTTGTCATGGATGGAAAGAAATCGCACATGTTGAATGGATCAGGCTGACTATTAGAAATTTCTTCGAATGAAAAAAAAAACACGTTTTTGGGCAAAATCTAATTTTAATTTTAAAAAATATTTCGATTAGGAAACTTACACTTGCTTTTGACGAATTATTTTCCCAATCTTCCGCTTACAGCCCTAAAGAATATTCTTTTACATTTTGAGAAAGAGGGACGGAGGTTCTTCGAATCTGGCGATTGACTGGACCGAGATGATTGAGCATCTCCAAAAAAAAAAAAAAAAAAAAAAACGGAACGACAATCCAAGCTGACCTTGTTTACGACGCCACACTGGGTGAGGTTGAGCATCTCCGACGACTGAAACTCGATGATCTCAGTGAATGTCCTCTCGTAGTTCGTCCCGACTTCCACGACGCTCAGTTCGAATCTGTAGGCATTGTTGATTCTCGCGTTCGGGAGGAGGAGGGTGTGCCACTTTCCTTCCACCGTTCGGGAATTCCTCAATTGAATCTCTGAAAAATTTTTTGGTTTTTTCAGGAGGTAATATATGTGAGGTTTTTCGACTGGAGGCTGCTTTATTTCACTAATTCGAGCAGTAGGGGGAAATCTTTGCTCATGTGAACGATTATGTCACTCGACAGGATGGAATCAGGCCGCAAAAATGTGAGAAGCAAAAAAAATGTGAGATGGTTCCCCAATGCTTCTAATATTATCTTGACGCATATCTTTTTTCTGGGATGCTCCACGTCGGATATTGTATCAGACATTTTAATGATGAATGCATTTAACCGCAAACCCACCATTGGAAAAATCAGGAATTTCTCAAGGTTTTGTCATAAAATTTATTTCGATGATCCATAGGTAGAAAACCCTTCAAAAGTAATTATTCAAAAATATTCCAATGATTTCCTCCTGACATTAGTAAAATTAACAACTCGTGGTCGTTGTCATACGTGGTGCCCTTCGTCCGATTCTTGAACTGTCACTTTAACAAAAGCAACTTGAGACACAGAAACGACTTCAGTTAAACGGCTTAAAACGACTCGCTAATGATACTGAAACTTTGTGCGAGAGCCTCTTTAAGAGGTTATTAAGAGCCCCTTAACAAATAAAAGCGAGTCGAATCCCACCAAAATCTTATCTGGAGGGGCCATTACTCTTATCTGACCGGCACCAACACCATCGGGAACACAAATGGATCGGGAATCGGAGATTTCACCGGGCACTAATAATCCATGACATCCCTGGAAGACACTGCCACAGTTCCCCGTGCCCTCTCAACGCCCTCCACCTCGCCGGAGAGAGGAAGCGAGAAGCGACGCGAAACGCGAGCGTGCATTCCCTGGCAACTCCCCATGCTTTTCGTTCACCAGCGGCTAGGGGCATTGCATAGCGAAGCAGTGAACTTCAGCTATTGCGCCTCCGTCTACTCGGTAGATGCCAGTAGCACCATTTTTTTCCATTACAGGCGATTTAAAAGAATGCAGTTTTCAGTATCACGACGGAAAATCAATTCTGTGCAAGCTTGCTCGTTTCTAAATGGTTCGCTTCTAAAATCTCTTCAGTTGATAAGAAGCACAGTGCCAATAGCTTCAGCGAGCAAATTTTTTTAAAATAAAAAAATGACGTAGCCCAAACTTTCGGAGTGATCAGATCCCAGCATTCCCTTGTCGACACTCGAAATAACATCATAAAAGAGAATCAAAGAAAAGGAATTGCCCTCATGGGATTGAGTGACAAAAACTTGGAACGGACCTCACCATGCATGAGACTTAGCCTTTTTGCCAAATTCGAGAAAAAGTAATTTTTTGCATCGCTTTCTGACGTTCCTTTCACTGCGAATCCACTCACCGTCAACGAGGCGAGCGGGCTTCACCGAGAAGTCGATGACGACGTTGTCCCTCGGGGACACGGGGAAAATCCCTTCTTCCACCGCCACCATTTCCTGGAAGAACCCAACAGACAAGAACCCAACCGAGTGAGAGAACGGCGACACCGCGTCCGCGACGCCCCGAAGCACGCGAACTACCTTTGTCTTGTTGCACGGGACGGCCAGGATGACCCTCATAGCGAAGGGGATCGATCTTTTCTCCCCCGGCACGATGAACCGGCAGATCGCTTTCGAGTTGTCCTGTCAAACGGTTACTTGCATCTTCCTTGTCAAAAAAATTGTAAATTTGACGAGAAATTGCGCTCACAGAGTCATAGCAGTTCGCGGCTTTCGCCGTCAAATTGACGCATTCCTCCAAGGCGACTTTCTTCGTCAACTGATCCATGAAGACAACTGCGAACGAGTCCGCGACGGATTTGTTCACGATGATCGAGATTTCCGAATTCGCAAAGAGCTCGCTGCCTGCAAAGAAGCGTGGTTGCCTGTGTGAAGGCCTGTTGCCTGTTGCATGAGAGTTCCGGTCGGGAGTACTCACCGCATTCCTGCGGCATTTCCGTCATTTCGACGGTCACAGCCGAAAGCACGGCTTCGTTGTTGTGGTTCCTCGAATATTTTGGTTTTCCGAAGACCAAAGGATGAAAATTCCTGGACCTTATCGAGGCGTCTGAAATGGACAATTCCTCCTAAAAAAAAAAAAAAGAAAACCAACATGAAAAAAAAATTTTCGTTCCCGAATTTTCCGACCCTCGAACGTGATCGATCGAGTTGCTCTCGAGTTCCCACAACGGAACGGAACGGAATTCGCCCAATGATTTCGCATCGCTCCTGAAAAACCTCATAGAACGACATACCGAGACGAGTTCGTTGACATTCATGGCGGAGAGGGACATTTTGATCCGAATGGGAGAAGAGACATGCAAGATTGCGGAGATGTCCATCTGGCCCCCATGCGTCACTTTCATGTAATTCAGGTGATTCTGACTTTGCAACCCGCCCGCCTTCGAATTCTGACGAAAATCGATAAACGAAATTAGTTTCGACTGGGGTTTGCCAAGGCTGATCAGAGACAATAGAGCACCTCGTCGACGACAGCCGTCGCTCGGGCGGATGCAGAGAAGACGAATTCGTTCGGCTGGGTCCCGTCTCCCTTGAAGGAGAACATGATGGCCAGGTCCGTCTCATTTGACATGGAGAGCACGGGGCTCACGGTGATGATGAACCGTAGCGTCTCCGTGTCCTTCCCGGGGGGCACGTACACGGTCAGGCTCTCCAGTTTCAGTTCGCTGCTGCCTTTCTGGAAACATCAGAATCAGGTTTTCAATACTCCGGGAACGCTCGCGACGGGATATTTTTTTATGACTAGGCGTACCGAGCATCGTCGTTCCTCCGATATTTGGCCTTGAGCATCCATCACCTGCGAGGGAATGGAAGCATCTGTCACTTTCATGCGGCTGAAAGATCCATCAAACTTTGAGCCGATTAGATGCATCGTTCTCGTTGATTCCGCGAACACTCTGGCTAATTCATACATAGTCGAGTATTAATGGAATTAGTGGCGCAATTCGAGCCTGGTCTCGGATTGTTGACAACTGGCGCGATGAGACAGTCGGAACGGCACGAATGCAAGAGAATCTCTGCCGCCTTTCACATCAAGCAATGTGCATCTAATCTGCATCCAAGGAGACGAAAGCGAAGGAACAGAAACGACAATCGAGCCCATGGAGACGCCAGGAACTCACGAGCGACTTGCCGGATCGCACGAATTCACTCACCCGGACACCGTAGAAGATCAGGGTCGGTTCGTTATCCTTCGTCTGGGTCTTCAAGGAGACATTCGTTAGCTTCCCTGACGGCAGATTGAGGCTGTACCTGTCGACACGAACGAGCCGAATGGACGGACGCTTTCGGATTGGCTTTCACGAGGGCGAGGGACGAGCGACTGGAGAGCTTCAGTTCTGGTATTTTAAACTCTATAGAGCATAGCATATAATGAAGGTGAGACCCCGCGCCATATATGGTGTGCATGCCTTGCCACTGGACACCCACCCTTGGGATGAGCATGATCACCATGAAACTCGGTCAGAATCCTTCAATCCCCCCACTCCACCCCCCATTCAAGATAACATTAGTTTCTTTGACAGCATACGTCCCTAGACTGATCTCCTCGGGCAATGCATGCATTCCCTCTGGAGGTCCATTCAAGGTCACCTTTATTTTCACCCTTGTGAGGTCCATTCTCAAATGGGCAGCATGCACCCTTTCCATTTAGTATATTAACATATTTTCTATATTATTACGAGCGATCTCATCTCTTGAAGGGTGCGATCGGGGGAATTCAATTTCATTTCAAGGAGCCGATATTCCCGAGATGACCACCGACGTCCAACGGAAAGATCCCGAAAACTAAAGCTCTCCATCGATGCATGCAACTGGTACAAGTCGACGGCCAGGGGGGTCAACGGGGGTGGGTATCGAGGTCCAGAGGTGCGACTCACTCGAAGTCCCAGAAGGTTCCCAGCTCGGGGCTGTTGCACGAGCCATCCACAGTGGAGAGGCAACGCAAAGATGCGTTTGTCGATGAGAGGTTCATCGTATTCATCAGCTGGGGAGAGAAGGGAGTTTGCAGGTCTACGTTCCGGGTGGGTGGGGTCTACATTCCAGCTCTTTGCTTACCGGTAAGTCCACGTCGAAGCAGATTTCCTTCCATTCGTTGGTTGTCCCCATGTCTGTACCCAGCTTCACTCTCTGCTTCCCGACAAAAATGGTATGAACCAGATCGGCCTTGAACTCGATCGTGGCCGTCCCCGGGGAAGAACACAGCTCCACCTCGAACGAGTCCGTCTGCGAATCGCGAGAATCGCTGCAGTTAAAAACCCTCAAGAGACGAAACGGAGGGGAGACGACGAAACGTACCACATACGGCGCCTTGGGATTGGGTTTCTCTACGATGTTGCTGGTCGGGCATCCTGGCACCTGCTGACAAAATCGATCCCGAATAGCGTGCTGATTTTTTTTTTTGCCCAACGGTTCGACCGAAAATCGCAAGACCTCACCTTGACGTCATGAAAATGCAGAGGCCCAAAGTCGTCCCCGGGCTCGATACACGACACCTTCAGCTTCAAATCGGAGTCGACCGAGACGATGGCCTTGAAGACAAGTTCGGTCGACTTGACGAGCTGGCAACCATCCGACTGGCCGTCCAGCGTCAGCTGCACGATCGACTGTGCGGAAGCGAGTTCGAGTCACGTCGCGCGTCGAAGGCGATTCGTGACGCATCTCGGTTAATCTGCCGCGTCGGCCTGCATTCGTGGAATTTCCCCGTTTCCATTCGCGTCACTGGTCATGTGACGTGACGTCACGCGTGACGCGCAAATGGGGATTCCGTGTTCATATCGGCAATCGAGCATCGAAGTACGAAAAAAATTATTAAAGTATGCTAATCCGTGGAGCGAAGCGCGTGGCGCCCTCTAGGGAGTCCAATTTCCACGACGAAGGTTCTTGAAGTATTCAGAGATGTCCGTGTTTCCCTTTAATTGGCCAACAATTTTAAAATCCCCCGAGGAGCGTCACCATCGATAGCGAAATTTAAAATCCCGCGAAAAACTGAGTCTGTCAGTCTCGAACTCACCGAAGCTTCCGTTGCAGATTTGCTTGGACTGGAAAGAAAAAAAGACAAGCGAGACATCAAACCTCGAACTTTTTCAGATTCACCATAAAAATTCGCCGCATTAGTTCTGCGGAACAGTGCTGTCAAGTACGGATTCAACTCTAAAATGGCCAAAATCGCCAAAATCCCCTCTGTGTCCCACCTCCTCCCCTCCGTGCCCCCTTCCCCCTCTCCTTGGTTGTCGAATATAGGTCACGAAACTTGCAGACATCGAAATTCCCGTCAGATATTGAATGCAAACTCTAGGCGGAATAGGGTCCTCAGTCGCTGAGTATGCTCTGGTCGTCGGAGTCTCATAAAACTGCCCAAAACTGCTCACATTTGCCCAAAACGAAGGCTCGGCGATGCCTCTGATTCATTCGCAGGCATCTCTCCGCAAAATGAGAGCTTCATACATGTGCATGATGAACGTCAGAGAAGAAAACGAGCTTTCTCACCTCAGTAGACCGATTAAGACGAAAACGAGAATGCGAATGCCGAGATCCATGGTCACGCCTCGTCCGGCAGGACGGGGACCAAGCCGACTGGACCGGCCGACTGGACCGTGAGAGATGCTAGGCCTGTTACCTGTGCGAGGGAGACAGATGGCAGTGGGGATTGCTTTAGGCCTGGTCGTTTGCATGGAGACGAGACGAGAGGAGGCGTGCGAAGCGAAAGCTCGTCGCTGACTGGCGCGAGAACGAGGTAAAGCGAGGCAGAGTGACGAGCTTCCTCGAGAGCAGGGATGCCAGAAGTTTCGGGATTGCCAGCCACATTCCAAGCAAAGAGAATCCTCAAATATATAAAGTAGCTTCAAAAAGTTTTCGGAACAATACTTTCAAGGACTTATTTTCAGTCTGATCGCAATGAGACTTGATGTTAACGACGTAGTTCCTCACCTGCTGCATTGATGGCACTAGCGGACCACTTCGACTGCGCGATTGTGAGTAGATCAGAAAATAAAATCGATCAGAAAATAAGTTTGTCTTTTACTTTTTGAAGGTGCTTGTATATTTCAATTTACTTTTATAAATGAGAGAAGTAGTGGGGAAAAATACATTTAGACTACAATCCTACATACATTTTGTTTACATGGATGCGAAACTTCGGACCCACTTCGGACAACCCTGCTCCAGAGGGAACAGAGACATCTGCGGGGAGATTTCGGAACCCGCCTTTGCCCTCCGTCCTCGACGGAAATGCCAAGCGGGTTCCTACGTTCCCCTCTTCTAAGAGGCGCTGGGCCGTTTCGGTCTCGTTTCGTTCAGCGTTTCGAGCAGGTTCGATCGTCTTTCCGTCTCGGATTCCCTTTTCCGTCTTTTCTTTCGAGCTGCCTTTCGGCCGATTCATCACCGTCTGCTAATCGCATGTCAGGTTTTATTGCGCCGACAGGGGTGAAATTAATTGCCGCTTCTCTTCTTCCCATTCCTTCCAAATTGTCTTCAGAATTTCCCAGAGGAGAAAAAGGACAGCGACAAGAGAACGAATCAGCGTTTCGAGAGGGATTGGTCCCTTTCACTGGACATTCCTTGCAAATTTTTTGCAAACTCCTTCCTCTGGATATTCCTTGCCATTTTTGTTGCAAAATTCTTCATCATCTTGGAGTCTCCAGAAAGAGAGGGAGACCCCGTTTAGAATATCCGCACCTTGCTATTTATCATATTTTTTAGTGCAATGTATGTTACACAGTCGACGCTCGACATCTAATATAGATAGACAATGGTGACCACTGATTAACTGGCGCTAATTCTAACCATGTTCTAGACATGAGAGATTGGAACTTGGTACACGAAAAAGCTGCTAGATTGCTGACTCCAGAGAAAGTTCAACTTCGAATGTCCCATATTTGGGGTACTTGCTCTGGAGGCAGATTTCAGCATAGAGGAGAGAGTGTAATTAGAGGCAACACTCCGAAGGGTAGGGGAGGGTCGAAATATTACAGAGACATCTGGTGGCTTGTTATCAACAACACTTCCATGAGGCGTGCTTCGTGGCAGCGGAATCGGGAATCNAGCGGAATCGGGAATCGACTCATTCGGGGATTCGATCCAAAGGGATCCCTCAACGTAACACGCGTGTCTCGTTGAGTCCGCTGCTCGGCCGTGGAAAAGTTGTTGGTGTGCGCCCGCTAGGTGGAGGATCGACAGCGACATCTATATTGCGACCATGTCAATGAATGGGATTCGAGCGGAGTGTTGCCTCTAGTATCACTCTATTTGACGGATTTCGCAGACCTAGGCCCAACCCACAGATGGATGCTTAGGCTAATACCACTCTCATTCATTTTCTTCCTTCAGGGAAGCGGAAGGGAAAATAAGTAGCTGTTTTATTCCGCCAGTAACGAATATATAACGAATGACGAATATTCTTCTCCACGAATTTTTCCCCAGTTCCCAAATCTGAAAAGTTTGCACGAAGTCTTTTTTTTTTTCGTCCGAGGGAACGAGGCCGTTCCGCAAATCCTCTGCCTTTCGTGCATTCCTGGGAAATCCCTCTTTTTTTAATTATCGAAATCTAGCATTTCCCCACCCATTCTATCTGTCAGAGTCTTCTCGACGAGTAAAGAGGGAGAAGCGAAAAGTCGTCTCAAAGGGAAATGCTCAATGTGGGGAATTCCCAAGAAAGAATTTTCCATTTAAGGAAATTTTTTTTTTGGCCTGTCCCTTCGAGTTCGTTCTTTCGAGCGTCGAACTTGTCCTTTCCTCAGCCTTTCTTGTCCTTTCCTTTGCCAAATTGCGCTGTTTTTGTCTTTCCCTTCGTCTGGCTCCAAATCGCTTCGGGTCGAGTCGCATATCAGAATGATATTTTGCAGTAGTCATTTAAAAATAGGTCCGATAAAAATTGGGGAAAATATTTTCCCCCCCGTTTTCCACGAAAGAGAGAGAAAAGTTGTTTTCGCGAGAGTCGATCGGAGCGACGTGAATCGTCCTGGGAGTTCCTTCGATTGGCTTTTTTATCTCGTTTCCTCAGATGGCCGACGCGCACAAACCGACAGATCGCGAACGATCAAATTCCGAGATCTCCGCAATTTTAGAGGCATTTTTAAACGCATTTTTAAACGGGGGGAAATCGCCTTCCTCTCGCCTCGCAGCCAGAAAAAGAAACCCGAGAAACAGACCGACGAAATCGCAGAGCAGAATCTCGAGCGAGCGTCACTGACCAGCCCTGAAGAGGCTCTGAGACCTTTCGAGGTCGAGGACGGTGGAGGCCGGTGGAGGCCAGTGGCGGACGGTGGCGGACGTGGCACGCTCCCATTCGGCAGCTGCCAACGCGTCAATGGTAGCCCGGTTTCGCCGATAAACGCAACAGGCCCGTTGCTCGGCAGGGTGCTCCGAGAGTCATCCATCAACGATTATCGACTTTCTCAACGGCAGATGTGAAGTTCGACGCAGTTTCCAAATGAAAATACGGCCGTGCCTTGTTTTACAAAGAGAGCCTTTATTTATTTATTTTTTTTGGCATACAGGGAAAACGACTGACTGATATCCATCGACCGTTCGATATTCAGGACTTTCCGGGTCCTTCGATATGATTGACTTCTCCCGCAGATATGTGGAAATTACCAAGCCCTCAGACGACCTCGATGAGAAATCCCGTGGCGATTAGCCCCTTCCGTGCCGTTCGCGGCGGATCTTTCCAGCGCTGTCGGCGACTGCCGGGTGGCGTCGGTCGAGTCTCGGTCGGTCGATCGTCGGGGGGCAGGCGGTTTCCGCGGTTTCCGCGGCACCGAAGGGGTTCATCGTTCGTCACAATTAATCCCTATTTACAGGAGTATTAGATCTTCAACGACAGACCGGCTGCTATCAGAGACGAATCTCCTTTTTCCTCGAGGAAGAATAAAAGTACACCAAATATTATGTACACGTAACACTAGGTTACTAAAACGCGCGGAAAAATGGTAAGGCTAAGATGAAAAATATCTCGATAAAATTTAGAGGTGTTACAGGTCCACCGTGACGATTTGGAAGACTAACGAGCATATACGACACTGAGGGAAAATATCCGAGTCACTCCGGCAATCTACGAGACCAGCCTACGACTACAGAATCCGACGCGATCCATCATCCTCTTGAGCTTTCGAACAAATAACGACGCCCACATAATCCAATTCATAATAAATCAATTTAAAAAAAAAAGGATAGCGATGGGGAAAAAAGGAGTCCGCAGACGAGCGTCCAGCCTCCACCCGTCCGCAGAACCAGCCGCCCAGCCGCGGCTTCAGCTATGGAGGATTCCCGTTGGAAGACACCGGATTGTGGAAGAGACGAAGGGAGGAGGAGGGGGAGAACTCGGAATCCCGTTCAAGGCCTGGAACCCAGCTGGCCCGAGCTGAACGGCTCGTCGTACCACGTCCCGAACGCGTCTGAAATAACAACAGACCAGTTTTATTATTTATTTATTTGATATATTTTTGCTATTTATTAACCATTTACTGAATATTCATTCCGTTTTTATTTAATATTTATTTACTATTTGATATTTATTTACCATTTACCTAATATTGATATTTATTTTCCAATAATGGTCTTTCATGGGGATTTATCCGATGGTCGAGGAGTTTCTTTTCTTCTCACAGAGGAAAGGAGTTTGCTTTTGTTCTTATCTGCTCGACCTCATCCCTTTATATCCTCTATCTGCTTCGGAACATCAATCGAGTCCACAGTCCATAAGTCCACAGTCCATAAGTCCACAGTCCATAAGTCCACATCGCGCGAGTCCACACGAGTTGAGACTCGTATTTGTCTCTTTCCCGGATTTCCGCATCAAAGCTGTTTCGCAAGCTATTTGCTTTCTTAATCCAAAACGACGAAAATGAAACTTTTACTTCCTGTTTCTCTTTCTTCCTTCTGGGCAAACATGCGAAAAAGTTTGCAGAAGTTGTTGGAAAAAATGGCGACTGCACCGTGCGCAAAAAAAGGATGCCGAATTCAGCTAAGGACGAACGCTTTGAGGAATGCCAACCTGAAGCCTCAACAGGAATGCCAACTGGGAGTTGGCAATCCTGCTGTTGGCATTCCTGTTCCAACTTCTATCTTTTGTAACCAGTTCCGAAATTGAAACAGAAACAGAAGGCTCGCGAAACAGATACCGAAGGCCGTTCCAATGACGTGGGACGACTCTCAAAGCAATCGGAAACCCGCGCAAATTCATGGTTTCATGTCGGTGTCTATGGAGCCCTGTTCTATTAAGCCCTGCTCCGTTAGGCTCCTGCTCCATTAAGCCCTGCTTAAGACGATCGGCGAGGATGCATAAAGGGACTCGGTGCAGTTTCCAATGACGCCTTTATGCGGCTCATCTTCTTCTTAAGCCTCCGCGAATGAGGGAATTCCCTTGAGTGAATTCCCTTGGGGAATGCCCTTCACAAAGACTGCCGTGATTCCTCCTAATCTCGCGATCGCACCTTTGCAGATTCATTCCCCCCCGTCTCGCACTTAAGAAGATTCCGCGATCGATCCCCTGCGATCCCCTGCGATCCCCTCACCTGTCACTCCCTGGAAGGTCCGCTTCTGACAGGTACCTTCCGAGCACTGGTACTTGTGGGAGCAGAGGCAGTCAGCGTCGGTCGTGCACGACTTCCCTTGGCTCACGTGGCATTTCTGCGGCTCCTGAGACAAAAAATGGCGTGCCAAATATGAAGTGCATTGCCGAATTGCGTGCTGAAATTTTCTGGCTTGTCTTTTGAGTGAAATTTATGAGGCCATTTGCAATTAAGATGACGTCATCGGGGGGACCCAATCGATAAATTGTAGATAAATTATAATTGATTAAATAAATTTATCGCCAATTAAGAAATTATGAAGGATCACCGGCTAAGTACTGGTAAAAGCAGCATGATTTGTTAAGCTTCCTTAAGCTCAAGTTAAGTTTCTTGAGCTCGCCATTCTTCTGATTGGGTTGAGTCGAGGCTTTCCGGTGATTTCGCGAGACGAATCGATTAATCATCTCGGGCGGTCCCCGGGTCACGTTTCGGGAATATCAACGAAGATTAATGGATTAATGAGGATTAATCCGTCTCGGTTCCCGAAGGAAAGCTCTGGGAACCTTCGCGACTTTCGGAGTCGACGCCCCTTCCGAAATCGAGCAGATTTGCGTAATCTCCCCCGCGTATTGACAGAGCGATCCTGGCCACATCTCATCATCCCATCGTCCTCCACCCATCCCATCGTCCTCCACTCATCCCATCGTCCTCCACTCATCCCATCGTCCTCCACTCATCCCATCGTCCTCGCATACCTCATGATCGCGAAGTGGAGGAGAGTCGGCGAGCCGCCTCGGCAGCGCCTTAACGATCTTCCCCTCCACTCCTTACGATCGTTTCGCCTTTCTCCGAATCCCCAAAATGCTCCCAT